CCTTCGTCTGGGGAGAGTCGTTCTCGCCAGTCTGCGAGTCGACAGTTGGAACCTTCTCCGCAGAGCCAGTAGATGGCTTGCTTGGGCGTGCAGGTATCTGTGGCTTTGGTCGGTCTGGGATAATGGGTGCTTTCTTGTCATCGGCAGATGGTTCCCTCTTGGCTGGTCGCGCCGGAATACTGGGGCGAGCCGGCACCGGGGGCTTTTGGTCGATTGGGGAGTCGTCGGCATACTCATTCGTATCCTCCATCTGAGGTGTGCTAACAGTAGTCTCGTATAATCCGTGGGATGGCGCATCCTCCCAGATATCTTGACTTGGGAAGCGTTGCTGCATTCCAGGGCGGCCCATGGTCTCGTCACGTACTTTTCCGAGGATCTTATTGTCTGCGGCGAACTGTCTAGTGTGGTCGGGGAGGAAAGACTTCTGATCTTCCTTGTTGATCTGAGTCTTACGCTGCTCCTCGGTGTTCGGGTCTTCAAAGACCTTCGCAGGACTCACGCTATCGTTACCACCAGCAGTCTTTGGCTCTTCTGGCTCTTGAGGAGTATCCACAGTAGTTTCGAGCTGTAAGCTGCCAGGGGTATCCTCCCAGACATCTTGACTGGGGAAGTGGTGTCGGGCGACACTGGGACGCTTGAGCTTGTCAACCTGAGATTTGGGTTTCTTGGCGTCCTCCTCATCCTCCGGAAACAGGGGCTCATACTCCTTGTGCGACTCCAGTGGAGTACTCCCACGATCGTATTGTGCTGGGCTGGGGATCACACGTTGCTGCTGCGTGCTGTTGTTCCGACTCGAGCTTCTGCTGTGCGTGCGCGGCTTTGTGACATATTGCGGGTTGCCATCTTCATTGAGCGTGTATTCGTTGCCATGACGCTCCATTTCAGGCGATACAGCAGGCTGTCTCCATTCGGCGTCTGGGTGTTTCTTCAGCTCATCGGAAGCTAGAATGGGCGTGCCATATCCGCGCTCAGTAACCCATCCACCTTTCTCAGCTGTGTTTCCGCCCTCGGGGCCAAGGTCTTCGGTTGGTGGGTCGTAGCCTCCGCCGTGAACCTTGCTGGAGCGGTGCGCAGGAGGGTCGATGTGGATGACCTCGCCTTTGTCATTGACCTCTTGGCCAGCTTCGTTACGTAGGGGTGAGTCGACGTAGCCGCCCTTGATTGAAGCAGGGCGACCCGATGACTGTGGTCGAGGAGAGGCCATGCGCGAAGCATATTCCTCTGTGGCCCTGTAGCCAATCTGTTCGTCGGGTGTACTGACTGCGTCCCGACTCGTGCCTGTAAAGCATGATCAGCAACAGCTGATGAATAATGAAGCTGCAATTGACTTACCCATTCCAACATCCTGAGCCCTAGTGTGTACCAGCTTGTCGAGGTTATCGGCACGCCAGTGGTAATCCTTCCTGTTCTCCTGGATGTGAGGACCGTACTCGCCGGCCTTCTCGCGCTTCAGATCGTCCGGGTGCTTTTCGTACCACTTCTGCTCAAAGTCGTCTGTTGAGATCTTGCCGTGGCCGTGCATGCCGTAGCTGCCAGGAGGGCCATGGAAGATTTCACGGCCACTCTTGGTGCGCCCGTGATGGCGACCACCGGCCTTCTGGTGGAAACCTATTCCTTGAGCTCCGGGCTGTTGCGCATAGGGCGAAGGGCTGGGAGCTTGAACGTCTCCAGCATTTCGGAACATGGGTACCTGAACACCAATTTCAGGAATGCCATGTTCGTCCTTGTCGTTGTAGAGCGAGCTGGGGCGCGATCCAGCAGAAGACCCTGAACGTCCAGTCTTGGCCTGAGTGACCCTATCGTCGACGGACAGCTGCGAGCCGACGCCAGCAGCGAGCGCTGTCTGTGAATCGGTCCGCGTCACCGCCTGGATCCTACTTTTGGCAGTTGAGCTTGGGACCGAGGCTGTAGGAGCATGCAGAGGCAAGTCTCCTGCCACGTTCTTCATATGTTGTGGAGAGCCGCCCTGGTTCTCCGGTGTGAGGGTCTTTGACAGGTCTTCGAAGCTGGCGTATTCATTGCCTTCTTCTCCGAGGGAGGGCATGGACACGCTCGGTGGGCGGGAGGGCAGATCGGTGCTAAGGCGACCGCCATCTCTAGGCGGTCCACCGTGTACGTAGGTCGGGTCGTTGAGCGGGGAGCGGGCGTATCTGTCTCCAGCGGGAGAGACGGAGCGTTCGACACCGCGCTTCGGGCGTGGGGGGATCTTGGGGACATCCATATGGGTACCCTGCGCAGGAGAAGAGCTGTTCTGGGCCCGCGCTGGGCGTGGAGGTATTGTTGGTGGAGCACTCATTGCTTCTGTGTCGGTTGCTCGGCGGGGATGTGGGGTGTAGGTGCGGTAGAAACTACAAGTCGTTCAATGTCAGTGACAGGTCTCGGCCATTGAATGATGGAGATGTGCAGCGTGAGCGAGCTGAGAAAAGTGCTCAGGTATGGCTCGGGCTGTTTCCTGCACGTCAGGCCAATAAGCGCGGCTGCGACTTGAGAGCCCAATGATGCTGTACAAAGCGGATGTGCTGTACTGACCTCGGAATCCGCAATTGAAGTGGAGACTAGAAGTGAGGCTGGCAAGAGGGGCAGATAGCTTGGTCGGATACAGCCAAAATGGCGCAAATGAATCGGTCCTGGAGCTGGGACGGGGCACTTATGTAGCAGAGAGCTCCAGGGCCTGCGACCCGCATTATGGCGTATGGGCCTGCACGCGGCCATCATCGTCACCCCCACAACCTGCATAGGTACCTACCACACGTTGGTTGACTGATTTCTTCCATGGTCCAGTCGCTGTTGCCACACATGCAATTGTTGTAGTGGAGATGTCCGACACGTCCACGTCAACCTCGCTGTTGACAAATGCATTGAATCCATGTCCCACATGCTCGCTGACGCTATCCTAGATTGGGGACTATGCGACCGCATCAACGTGTTTCGCAGCCTGGGACGTCCAACATTGATCAAGACTCGCACAAGTCACATTGCAAAGCTCAGCACATGACATGTGCATTGTTTGACTTGCATCCATCAGCTGCGCTTGGTGTGGCAGGGTGGCAGGATCTTCAACGCCTCGCAAGCTCCGGCACGTTAGCGTTCCCCGCGCCGAATAAGTGTCGTTCCTGGCGAGATTCTGGCAGCCAGTTATCGTCATCCTAAAAGCGAGCAGATGCCAGGCCAAGTTTGGCGTTTCCGCTGTCGTGGTCTGACACTGCTTGTGCTTGTCGCGGCTTTTCTAGCAACGATAGAATCAAATTCGAATGGTTGCTGAGCAGCCAAGTGCTGCACCCTACAGAATGTACGCTTGAGAGAATGGCACCCATAGCTTCTAGAACATCGTCATAGGGACTCATGTGGGTCCTGCGCTCGTCTCTATCGATCAATCTCTGTGTAGAATTACGTAGATGTCCCCACACAGCAAGATGACATCGTACACGACAAATGCACAATTGTCACGGGCACGCGATGAGTACAGAGAAAGCATGTCGCATTTAACCGCCTAGCAGTTTGGCCAAGCGCTTCCATATCCAAGAGGCTCTCTTACAAAACATGGCCCCAGAACGCCCAGCTGCTGAATGATGCTACAAAGAAGTCAAATCATCTCCTCTAATCGCTTTCCAATCGGCTAAGCTCATCATCTCCGTCCTTGTGATATCAATCGGCTCCTCCGTCGGCCCTTCTTTCTATACGCGTGTCGTTCGTTCGGAATCGTCGCACATGGCTGTTGCTCGTTGCCTAGTTCTGCCTCCACTTTATATGATCATCTGTGCGACTCCCTGTCCACCGAGCGTCTTGCTGCCCTGGAATTGCTGGCCTTTGAAACCGGCAAGCGCATAGAAGACGGCTGCGAGCAGAAGGAAGACGGCCGCGACGATCAGACTTGTAGCCCGGGCAGCGATGCTGGCCCATTGTATGGCGCTCATCGCCGCGTAGATGGCCGCGCGCATGTAGTTGGAGCTGAATTTGCGAATAAAGGTATCGAACTTGGGTGAAGTCGGGCAGATGCGGAGGAGCAGCGGTATTTCGATGAAGATAATGATGAAGGAGCACACTCTGCGAACTGATCAGCCATATTCCCAGCGAAGATATGGGCGCGGAGAACGTACAAGCACACGATACTAAACGCGATGACCCAGTTGGCGTTGAAGATGTTGGCGATGCCCAGCGCAAAGCAGAGGACTATACACAGTACTCCGGTCCTGCCGAAGAGTTAGTATAACATGCTGCGAGCCGTGGGCATGTGCATAGCAGCTGGCGTGACTGACCATTGTCCGTAGATACCTGCAAAGATGCCATGTCAGCAACAAGTTACAGGTCCAGCAGCGGGTGTCTTACTGAAATTCCTCGACTTGAATTCTTCTGCGAGCGTCATCTTCGCGGTGTGATTGACTGCTGTGTGCTTCTAGCTCTTCGAGGTTATGCGCAAAATGGTGGTTTGGCGATGTGTAGATTGCGGTTCCGGTAGCTTTGTTGCTGGCGCGGGCTGAGTGAAGCTCTGGCACAAAGTATCAGGCGAGGTTTGATATCCTTTGTTGGAATGCCGTGCGCCGCGTTGGTGTACGTTGCGCTGCGTAATGTGATTGTGGCTGTGCAGTGAATCGGATTGGGTCGAGTGAATGTTGGTCGGTGCCTGGCGTTGCGATGGCAATGGCTGCGTTGCGTGCTTCTTGGTAGCTCAGCCCTCGGTCGGATCGCGGCTTCCACGTCTACGTAAACTACGCGCTAGTGCTTGCCGAAACCGTCTTGGGCCGGCACTCTGCGCCTGAGAACTCGGACCTGCACCTTCAGTTTCAGAACATTGTGTATGGCCGCGACTGCCTCACCTTGGAATGACTGGAACTTGGAAAGCGAAGGAACCATGGACGCCTCTCGTGCTTGCGTCTGCCGCGCTCGGGCTGGCGCTTTACTACCTACATGCCCAGCAAACAGCCACTTTGACAACTGCGGACCCTGCGCAGGTGAATACAGAACCGTGCCAAGACGACGAAGCGATTCACGTACCAGACGCCATGGATCCGAAGGAGAGAGCGTATCATGAAGGCTTCATGCGAGAGGCTATTGCCATGGTGAGCCACGTCCTTCACTTTGTACATATTCGGCTATCTGCTGAATTTACTCCATGTTTGATCCCTCTGCTGACTCATCATCACTGCAGGCTGAACTTGCACTCAAGAGCGATGAGACCCCCGTCGGCTGTGTCTTCGTCAGGGACGGCGAGGTGATTGGACGAGGCATGAACGAGACAAATCGGACCCTGAACGGTACCCGCCACGCCGAGTTCGTCGCCATCGCTGGCATCTTGTCAAAGCACCCCATCAGCATCCTCAACGAGACAGACCTCTATGTCACCGTTGAGCCGTGCGTTATGTGTGCGTCCATGCTGCGCCAGTACGGCATTCGAGCCGTCTACTTCGGATGCTGGAACGAGCGTTTTGGCGGCACCGGAGGTGTTCTGAACATTCACTCTGAGTACGCATCCTTCTTTCCTCACAAATACGTGCATCGCAAGTACTGACTTCAACAGTGCTAGCGTCGACAAGCCCTATCCAGTCACCGGCGGCATCTTCCGAGAGGAAGCAATCATGTTGCTCCGGAAATTTTACGTCCAAGAGAACGAAAAGGCCCCCGAGCCCAAACAGAAGAAGACGAGGGAGCTGAAGACAGAGATCCTGCCAATGGACGTTCACCAACCCAAGTCGACCCCATCACCTGCTATTCGTGCTCCGGCTAATGCGACCTCGACCGGATCCATCCCGACACTGTCTTCTTTGAGCGCATCCGCCGCCGCTGCAGCTGTTGCGGTCCCCAAGACTGTGTTTCCCACGCCCGGCCAGGCTCGACCCAGCTCTGCCAGCACAGCTCTTGCTTGAAGCACTTACGATGAATGCATACTTATACCCAACCATAGACGCTAGGATGAAGGAGTGAAACCGAATGTATAATACCTCATGACTTTTTACCTCAATAAAAATTTGTTGTTCACAGAGACACGTAACTGATTTGAGATGGCTGAGAGTACAATACCTGCATCGTGATTTCGAAAGGAAGTAGAAACGGCAATAGATGGTCGGTACTGAGTTTGGTATTGAAACGGGATCAGGGAGGCTTTTATCCACCTGTATCTTATTTCTCTCCTCCACCACCTGCAACCAACTGCACTACCATGAAGAGAGCAATGGCCCACCAGTATCTGTAAAATAATCAGCATAACCTCTAGTAACGAACATTGTCCCCCTACGTACTTTTGCAAGAAGGTCTTCTCCGGCTCTTTTCCGTCGAGCTTCCCCTCCGCATTGAGCACGATGGGCTTGTTCAAGACCGGCTTCGGCCCAACATTCCTCTTCTTTATCTCCACCTCCACTTCATCTTCGCTGCCTTTCGCGCTTGTTCCGAATCCAATATGGAAAGGCTCCCCCTTCTCATCAACGTGAATGATGAACTTCTTGTGGTATTGGTCGGAGAAACTGGCCGCTGACGTGACAATGCCTCGCCATGAGCCAGATTTAGGGTCGGTGAGACCAACGCGAAGAAGGTGATCAGAGGCGTAGGAGCCTGTGGGTGGTGTGAAGGAGGCTAAAGTGCCAACGGGTTGGTCTGCGTCGTATTCGATCTGCGCAAGCGGAATCGGCGAGGGGATGACGGCGCTGTCCCCTGAGGCTGGAACGGAGGAGACGTAAAGCGTGACCGACGATGCGACCGCAAATGGCAGCAGTAGAAGTCTTGACAGTAGCATCTTGGCGCGATGGTGCGGTCTGTTGCTATCTGTACCAATGCAATGGTGTTGGTAACGGGAGCTGGCTAGCCGCCCGAGAGCAACGGCGAATTGTATCACCGATGGACATTCACTCAAGCGAGCCGTGTTTCCACAACCCCTCCTCCTCAAACCATATCTCCTGAGACTTACGGTAAAATAATCCTGCACCTCCGCTTGATCCGGAATCGCACCGATAGCCATGATCAGCCGTGATCCAAGACCTCAACTTGCTTTGCGTGGCGTTGCCTGACCAGCCAACACTGGCCCAACAGCATCCGGTATGCCTGAAAAGGTGGATCCGGTGCTCACGATGCCCACATTTCTCAGTCTGATCTGTGAGCAGATCGACGCTCAGGCTCGAGACGACCCTGACGACTGGTAGCCCGATTGCACAAAGGCTGGGGTTGCTGCCCCACCCCCACCATACTAGAGCTCCCCAGAGCTCTTATGAGCTCATCCCGCATGGACAGCTGTATTGTAACTCAACATTATTTCTCGCGTCCTCGGGCTTTCAATTAGCTTTTCTTCAATTCAAAATACCACACTTCTCTCACCTTCCCATACTCATACGCAGCAATGTCGATTCCTTTCCGCCAGACCCAGCGTAAGCAGTCGCGTCAACTGTCAACAGATCCCCGCAATGAGCTCCACCCTCAAGTCGACCACTACATCGGTATCGATGTTGGTACCGGTAGTGCTAGAGCCTGTATCATGAACGATCAGGGAGACATTGTCGGACTGGCCTCAGAGAACATTGGCTTATGGCAACCACAGACTGGCTACTATGTACTTAACCCGCAACAGGCAAATTGCGAGACCCAAAACTAAAGCGAACCCAGGAACAATCCACAACAGACATCTGGCGATGCATCTGCTCCTCAGTCCGCCGAGCCATGGATCAGCACAACATCGACTCGAGCACTATCCGTGGTATCGGTTTCGATGCGACCTGCTCGCTTGCGGTATTCAGAGACGACACAGATGAGCCTGTCGCCGTCACTGGACCGAACTTTGACAACAAGGACGGCAACGACCGCAACGTCATTCTGTGGCTCGACCACCGACCTGTCGAGGAAACAAACAAGATCAACGCTACCAAGCACAACCTGCTTCGCTACGTCGGAGGCAAGATGTCCATCGAGATGGAGATTCCCAAGGTATTGTGGCTGAAGAACAACATGCCGAAGGAGCTATTCGATCGGTGCAAGTTCTACGATCTGACCGATGCTCTCACACATCTGGCTACCGGCAGTGAGAGCAGAAGCTACTGCAGTGTGGTCTGCAAGCAGGGCTTTGTACCTGTTGGAGTCGATGGTAGTGTCAAAGGATGGCAGGAAGACTTCCTCAAGGAGATTGGCCTCGAAGATCTATGCGAAGACAACTTCAAGCGCATGGGAGGCGTTGACAATGTGGTTTGTCCTTCGCTACTATTCTTGACGGTCCCGGCTAACAAGCACACAGAACGGACGCTACCTCACTGCGGGCGAGCTCGTCGGCACACTTAGCGAGAAGGCGGCACAGGAGATGGGCCTGCAACCCGGTATTGCAGTCGGAAGTGGAGTCATCGACGCCTACGCTGGCTGGATCGGTACCGTTGGCGCCAAAGTCAAGCTCGATGGGGATACTCTTGACATGGACCAGCCTAAGAACGATGTTTCGCAAGCCTTCACGCGTCTCGCAGCCGTAGCTGGGACATCGACCTGCCACCTTGCCATGTCACGCGAGCCCGTCTTCGTCGACGGTGTCTGGGGCCCATACAGAGACGTCCTACTACCAGACTACTGGATGGCAGAAGGAGGGCAAAGTGCGACAGGTGAACTACTCAAGCATGTTATTGAGACACACCCAGCCTTCAACGAAGCCGTGTCTGTCGCCGAAACGTACAACACCAACATCTACGACTACCTCAACGAACATCTCCGCGAGATGGCAGACGCGGAGAAAGCCCCACACATCGCCTGGCTTGGACGTCACTTCTTCTTCTATGGTGACCTCTTCGGCAACCGCTCCCCTATCGCCGACCCCAACATGAAGGGATCTGTCATCGGTCTGAGCTCCGACAAGAGCCTAGACGGCCTGGCACTATACTACTACGCGACCATGGAGTTCATTGCCCTTCAGACACACCAGATTGTTTCTGCGATGAACGCCTCTGGCCACGTCATCTCTTCCATCTTCATGTCCGGTTCGCAGTGCCAGAATAGTCTGCTGATGCAGCTCATGGCCACTGCGTGCGACATGCCGGTCCTGATTCCACGATACGTACACGCAGCTGTAGTGCATGGCGCGGCTATGTTGGGTGCAAAGGCGGCCAGTACTGACAAGGACGGAAACAGCGAGCCGCTCTGGGATATCATGGACAGACTGAGCAAGCCCGGTAAGACTGTGAAGCCACTGGCTGATAAGACGGTCAAGAAGCTGTTGGACGCCAAATACAAGGTATTCTTGGAGCAGTGTGAGGGCCAGCAGAGGTACAGGAAGGAGGTTGATGCCGCCATTGAAGGGTGGGCTAGCAAGTAAATATCACAAGTGGTAGTAGTCAAGGACACGACGATGAAAGGGATGATATCCATCATTAATTAGAAATTTATTCTGGCCACAAGACACTTGCCGAGGGGATCGTTGGTGCATGTTGTGTGTATAACCCAACTCCCCGCTTATGCCATCGGATATGGAAACTGCATGACTGCTCCGAGTGTTGTAGGTCTTGAAACCCGGCTGCATGCAGTCTGCTCGTTGCTATCGTCTGTAAAAGGGTATATCGTACAGGGGAAATTGAAGAAGATGTGTGCCGGCCGTCGAGCTCTAGTATCGTCGGCGGGGTCCACGTGGTGGTTCTCTGCGACTAGCGTCGTTAAAGCCGTATCGTCCATCTTGGAAGCTACCAGCGCGTGCGCCCGCACCGGTGTCGATGTCCATGTCATCCATGGACTGCGTAAGGCGGGCAGGCGGTGCTCGTGCGACGTGGGTGCTCGCGGGAACATCCTTCATGTAGACGTAGAGGAGTCTGCCATCAGCCTGTTGATGGAGTTAGTTTTAGTCCAGCAAAGAAGAAGCTCGCCGGAACACTGACCTTCTGGTTGTTGAACGTCGCGATAACATTCTCGGCGCCCTCCCTGCTCACAAACTGCAGCTCGACCATGACCGTCGGGCTGGAAGATAAGAGCCTGCAGCCCAACGTCTCTCCTCCAATCGGGGTCATGACGGCCTCGATATCAGCGGCCGTTGTTCCAGGTGCAAAGTTGCTAGCAATGACGGTACACGGACCGCCCGTCGCGGCACCTCGAATGCTAATGCCCGGTGCAGCGTCATTGCTGCGTGTAGCCGCAGCGCGACCAAGGACGGGAGCAAATTTGGTGTACGCTTTGCTGTTGCGCTCGACCTGCGATGCTGACGCCGTCCGAGCGAGGTTGTTCCTGTTGTTGGCGGCACCGCGGGGGTTGTTCAACTTGTGCAGATCGTGTTGCCATTTCCCGTCGACGTTGCCGGCTGGTTTCGCGCTCGCTGATCGCTTCTGGACGCCAGCGCCACCGTTTATCCGACTGAGCAGCGATGGCTTTTCAGATTCAACTCGCGCCCGGCCGCCGGCGCCTGGTGCATTCGCTTTCCGGCCTCGGCTGCCAGCTCCGAGGAACTGTTGCGCGAGGGCTTCGTTCTTCTTCTTCTCGCGGGTCTGCTTGACGAAACTCTCGAAAGACGCGGTGGTTGAGGCGACCATGTTGAGCGACGGTGGAAATGGAGAGTAGTGGTGGTGGTCTGGTATGGAGTGGAAGCGCGTAAGTGTCGGCCTAAGGACAACCAGCGAGCGCGTCTACGAGAACCTTGACCCGCTTGGATCAAAGCTCGGGCCACGACCCGCCCGGCGAAACGAAACACCGCCGCGAAAAGTTCCCGTACAAAACTTGAGCCTGCAGCTTCTCTCTCTCACTCCAACAACGCGCCCAACTTTTGGTAAGTCAACACACCCGCTCTTTCTTTGTTTCCTGTTGCTATCATGATGAACACTTGTGTCGCCCCTATCATACATTCTATGGTGATCCGACCACTCAAGCCAAACGAGAATACTGATCTTTCGCAACATCTACCAATCTGTTACTAGAAGTTTTTTCAGGACAT